GTAAAATGAATAAAACAATATCAAAATAAATGAATAATAAAGATTGACAGCCCGTTAAAAAAGGGGGTGTCTGTAATAAAAAGCTAGTCTAAAAAGATGTGTCTTTAGCTGTTGGTTATAAATGTCTCTCAGAGGGGCGTGGGGAGGGGCTCCTTATTTTCATCTAAAGTAACAGACAGAGAATCAGCACTTTTGAAACCGGGCTGAAACAGAGGGGATTATGGGTAATGCTGCAATGATCTGTTTGGTGTTTGGAGCAACGCTTCAGAGACATGTTTTGTATATATCTGATACCTATCATAGATTGATGAAAAACAATATAATAGGAGACCTTTAAAGTTTCTAATGTGTTTTATGCTCTTAATGTCTTTCATTTTTGTAAAGCACTTTGAATTGCCTTTTGTTGAAAAGTGCTATAAGTAAAGATGTCCTTGCTTTGCGTGTTCTGCTGCAGCCTGAGCCCATACAGCTACGATGAGGGCTGTCTGTCCAGCAGCCAGGACCACATCCCACTGGCAGCGCTCCCCCTCCTCGCCACCTCCGCCCCGCAGTACCAGGACGCCATGGCCACCGTCATCGTCAGGGCCAACCAGGTGTACTCAGACTTCTTAAAGTCTCTGGAAGGGGCAGCCTTCTCCGGCCAGGTCAGTCACCGAAGATACCTGGGTCACATTTCAACTTCAGTGTCCATATGTAGTTAAATCGTGTTACAGAGTGGTCCGTCTTTTTTCTTTTTCTTAACAAAACAACAACAATAAGCAGAAGAACATGGGGTGTTTCTTTTCAATATAAAACATTGACATTGATCATTAAATAAAAGATTCAAACAGTTAAACAAAAGAAGGGCGTATCGGGGTAATATACACTTTCCATTTCTCCCAAATGTCCTTAAATGTAAGTTCCTGGAGCCTCATAGAGAAGGTTATTCTTTCCATTACAAAGATTTCATAAATGATATCGAACCAAGTAAGGGATAATGTGAAGTGAGGCGGTCATTGTGGGGAAAAGAACACCCGACAGGCTGACCAGGAGCCTGACGCATGCAGTTTGCTTTTCGGCCAAACTGTATACAGTTAAATCGACCAAACTTCTTTCTGCAGATGTAAGCGTCCTTAACAACGGTCAATAAGTCCTTGACAGCGGTCTGTCTGTTCTGGATTAACAACGCGTCGCGTGTTCTGAATTGACCAATCAGAATCGAGTATTCAACTAAGCCATGTTATAATCATCTATAGATGGGCTGTTTGGTTTGAGCCATTTCTTTGTGATTGCTTTCCTGGCATCAACACTCAACAAGTCAACATCCCAAATAAGTATTTAGTTTTAATATGTGTGGATGTTGAGTGCAGAAACCTGGGTCATATTTGTTCAGTTATTGATTGATTTTATTCACAGGTTACCAGATATAGACACACAAATCCAAAAGCAAACAGGTTAAATTGAAAACATTCATTTCAAACATGGTCACGAGATGTTAGAAGAAACAAGAAGCACAGGATTTTCAACCAAAAACTAAACAAAAACACCTTCAATAGAAATGTAATTGCATATTTCATTACCAATCTCACAAACTTGTCCATAAAATAGTCCTAAGACAACCTTAACAAATCTAATCATCGATGTTCTTCCACAGAGCGGTGTGGTAACCTCTGAAAACATTATCCACTCGCAAGACACTTTTCATGAACTCACACTGGCCTTGATATTATAATTATGTCATTGTTATCTGTCAACACAAATATTGAGGATAATACTGGTTACTAATATTAATAATATGCCACGTTATAACTTCTGATTGTAATAGTTTTGAAATAAATGTAAACAGTATCGCAGCTGAGCCTGCTCTTTAATTTTGTACCAGTTATATCTAAATATTAAAACACCTTGTTAATTGATTCTCCACATAATGGTATACACACATATAACAACAAATGCCAACATAAGAAAGATTCTTCCTAAGTTTACATTTTATTATGTGTACTTCCTTGAATATGTTTTATTATCAGCATACTCGCTTTTGTTTGGGTTATTAAACTGTGTTTGAGTATATGTGTTGGTATTCTAGGCAAACCTTAACCCTTTGGCTGTGTTTTAAAAATATAACTATTGTTTTATGAATTCTTTGTTTGACCTTTGGCCCCTCTAGGTTTGCCTGATTGGAGACTGTGTGGGAGGGATCTTAGGTTTTGATGCACTTTGCAGCAGCAACCAGACGGTGAACGAGAGCCAGAACAGCAGCCGCAGGGGCAGCCTCGTCAGTGTGCAGGTAGCAGACCACTGACATTAATAACTAAATATCATGATCACAGAAATTCAATTTCTAATTCCCTCTGAAAATATGCCCTGCCTTTTATTTTAGTTTCCTGCAACAAGAAGGGCTTATCGGTGTAATATACACTTTCCATTGTGTGGTCACCCTAACAGAAACAATTAGAGTGACCACACTACCAGCAACAGGACATTCAATTTCCACAAAAATATCTTATATACAGTGTTTTGTCTAAGTTTTCATGTAGTTTTAAATCTTGCTAAGACAAAAATCAACTCAGATTGTAACCTTCACACAACCTTTTTTCAAACAAATCATTTCTTAAGTTAACTGTACATAGAGCGCTGGATCATCAAAACCAAGACCACAAAAAGCCCGTACAACTATTTTCTTCAAATCTTGTTTTGCCAAGATGTAAAATACATTTCAGACTTTCTTTTTAAGTGTGATAAACTTATATAACTAATGTCCCTGAATCCCCCTCCAGGACCAGGACCTCCTCTCTCCCGGCATCATTGTGAACAGCGTGCAAGGCTCGGCCTCTCCCACCCTGGAGAGCAGCCGCCACCTGAGCCGGAGCAACATCGACATCCCTCGGTCCGGCTCAGGAGACGACGCCAAGAGACAACTGCCCCGCAAGAGGAGCGACTCCTCCACCTACGAGCTGGACACCATAAAACAGCACCATGCCTTCCTCACCAGGTGTGTTGAGTGTGGGGAGACCAGAATCCAGGACGATTCAAAAGTTTGACATTACGATTACCCTGGCCACAATCATATTTTTTAAGTGAACATTGTTTATGTGATAGTCATGCAATCTAGTTATTTATCATAAGGGGGTTCTGCATTAAATTAACATTCAAATAATAAAATAGCAACTGTGTTATCCTCATCTTTCTTACATAATAAGGTCAAGCTCAAAGTATTCCAGATCATTCTGATAATGGAAATTCCCCATGATCGACTTATTGTGGTCTCAATCAAATCCTCTATCCCTAACCCTGGGAGATAACCGCGACCTTGTTTTACACGCTCTCTGAGTCTGGTTTGTTTTTATTTCATACGAGGAAATGACTTTGTGCCGTCCTTCCAGCTTACACTCCAGTGTTCTGCGGAGTGATGCGGTGTCGCGCAGGTCGAGCAGCAGCACGATGCTGGATGGCAGCTCTCTGGGGAGGTTCGACTTCGAGGTGTCCGACTTTTTCCTGTTCGGCTCTCCACTGGGCTTGGTCCTCGCCCTGAGGAAGACCGTCATTCCTATGCTGGATGGTAAGCTAATTTAAGTCAATCAATGATGGCAACGTTGTTTATTTTTGACACATTATTGCAATAATACAAAATGACTTCGCTTTTTAAAGAACTTACTTTAGTGCTATTTGTATGTTTGGTTGCCATTACCATTATTTAAAAGCTAGATATCCCGTATTATGTTCTCAGAGACGATATTTATTATTTTATTATTTATTTGTTTTATTCCACACATGGCAGTTATTTTAAATCAAAACATGTACACTTTACAAAACATGTACACTTATACTGGTTGTTTTTTTTATAGCGCATGGTGGAAAGGAGCAGGGAGAGGAACATCGTATTTTACCTGCCCCTTCTTACAAAAATAAAAATAACCATTCAAAAGTAAAATAAAAGCAATATTCTTTCAGTCACAGTTGCTTACAAATACTGAAACATAAAACCAGAACACACTCAAAAGTCTTCAAACTGTCTAATTACGCAATTTTAAACATAAAAATGTGGGTGGGATCATGGGTCCTTAGATTGTTCCCCTCTCCTCGCTCATATTTCCGGCTCTGTGTCTCCCCCTAGTGGCCCAGCTGCGTCCCGCCTGTCAGCAGGTCTACAACCTGTTCCACCCGGCGGATCCTTCGGCCTCCCGCCTGGAGCCTCTGCTGGAGAGGAAGTTCCACCTGCTGCCTCCCTTCAACGTGCCCCGCTACCAGCGCTTCCCCCTGGGAGACGGAAACTCTGCCCTCCTGGGTGAGCCTCTGCACCCACGGCGTCTAAAAGCCTCAGTCAAATCTATTCAGTAGATATCCAGTCTCTGATCTACAGTCGATTCATTCAGTGCTCCTGTTTTTCCCCCATGCACAGACATGAATGCAAATGACACTGTATTGAAATAACTTTTCCTTTTAACTTAAAAGATCATATCCGCTGACACACGGAAATGATCGTAACACACTGTCCCGTTTCCCAGGGGTTCTTGCTACTGAAAACAAATGCATTAAAGACATCGTAGCGTCCCACTCTCCCTTCAGACACTGTCTCAAAGAAATTAAGCGTTGTTCTATTGCTTGTGCTTCAACATGTTTTACAAAGCAGTTTATGATCGAATGTGGTCAAAGTCCTGCTAGGGGTTTCTGTTTGGACACTGTGGAGCAACGCGTTACAGCCTCACCCTTTTATACAAATATCTGTCTATTTGTACTGCAGAAAGTGTACACAGAAATGTATGAAGTAAATATTTAGATGAGGATTTTTCTTTCTAGGTCTAAACACATAGCTTCCAACACAAAACTAGGCTTGGTAAGGAACCACATTAGGGTTTATAAGCTGTACAAAAAAGACAATATTTATTTTCTTCTATCCTTACGGTAACCACTCTTGTATAATGTATTAACAATGTTTTCAGAACAGATCTACAGCCTATGGTACCGATAAAGTTTTATAGACAATAACATTTTGTGCCAAAGGTATTATGACGACGTTAGAGTGTTTTATCATGACGTTATGTGTCTGACTAGCGGTGTCAAAAGAAATGGGCTCGACTCTGCTTTCTTGTCTCACGTTTAGTTGTTCTTGCTTCATATGTTTTTGTGTCTTCCTTGTCTCTTTTTTCCCTCCTTCTCTGTCTCTGCCTTGTGTCCCCCATATCTGTACGTCACTCTCTACCTCCAACCCCCCCTCCTTCTGCCCCTCCACCCCCCCTCTGTAGTGGAGACAGTCCAGAGCAACGCTCAGCTGCTGCTTGACAGCGGGCCTCCCTTGTTGTCCCTTCGCTGTCAGGAGACCATCAGTGAGACCTGCATCCCTGTGCCGATGCTAAACTGGCAGGAGGGCTGCCTCAAAGCCACACCCGCCACTATG